AGGGGACATGAAGGAAAGTGTCACTCCACTTATGGTTTTGCTGCTTGAGTGTTAAAGCCCAATTAAATATTTAGATAAAAACAGCTAAATTTATTCAAGGTGCATTAAAACAAAAGATGTGCAAGCCCAAGGAAGGACGCCACTCTGACCGTACCTGGAGTTCAATGTGTGGAATGGCCTCAGCCGCCACTCTGACTATGCCCACTGATGCGTTTTGCCCCACCCACCAGGGTTTGATCACAGATTGATAAATCCCTGGTGGATGGGGAAAAATGCGTCAGAGAGCATGGCTGGAGCGGCAGCTGAAGCCATTCCACATGCTGGACTCCATGAACGGTCAGAGCGGCATCCTTTCTTAGGCTGTATGAATGCTACTGGAATCATTTGCAAACACTGCTCCCCCTTCTCATGCCGGTGAGGTGATTCCTTTTTTTGTTGGCCTGCTTGGAGTGACGCCAGTATGTCTCACACAAAAGATGTCCAAAAGATGGTCTTACAGTTCAATTTCTTTAGAAAGCAGTCACAGGCTGTAGAAAAGCATTTCTGTAGAGAAGAACCCTTTGTTTCGGTGTGGATCAGTGGTCTCTCTGCAGAGATCCATCATCCCCTTCCCTGTTGATACCTATAGCTCCTTGCTCATTGGAGAGCCCCTACTCTGACTCATTAGGTGGCATGGCAGACCTCTGTAGATGTCACTGCTTTCCCACAGAGAGTCCTTTTCTACAGCATGCTAGCAGAGGACAATCAATGCTATTTAGGCTGTGGCTATGTAAAAAATGAGAACTATAACACTTGATCCACCTTTTGTTTTCATGCACCTGGAATATATTTAGGTGATTTAAATTAAAAGTTCAGTTGAGCTTCAAGGTGATACGGTCCAGATGACCCCAAGTGGAGTCTTGAAGTTTCCACAGTGTTTGAGAGGAGTATGCAATAATTAATTATGGATACAATGATATGTTTGAGTTTTGTTCTACTAGGAATGTATCTAAGTGACCCCAGTTTAGATTTCTTTGTAAGTGTAGAAATGCTGCAAGGTTCCTATTAAGTTGACTGTATGCTTGTACTTTTTATTTGATTGCAGTGACATTGTATAATCAAGATTCAGAAAGATGAACATATAATTTACAGGCCTCTTAGTTAACCGCTTTTGGACTGCCCTATAGCAGATATACTGCTACAGGGCGGCACCTGTGCACAGGATCACTTGTATATATACGTCATTCTGCATTTCTGGGTAGGGGGCGCGGATGTCAATCACAGGGTCCTGGCTGCTAATTACACACCGGCGCCCGGCCCATTACCAAGCATTTCCGACAGGGAGGAAGATTGTTTTATTTACAATCTTCCTCCCTGCAGCTCGAGCACACTGCTCAGGATGGCAGTGCACAGTACAGCCATCCCGATCAGTATGCTTACAGTGAAGAACACACACCACTAGTAAAACACTCCCAGCACACAGTTAACCCTTTTTGATCGCCCCTCACATTAACTCCTTCCTGCCCAGTGTCATTAGTACAGTGTCAGTGCTTTTTTTTTTAGCACTGATCACTGTATTGGTGTCACTTGGGTGTCAGTGACACCAAGTTAGTCCCTCCCAGTGTCAGAATGTCTGCTGCAGTCCCGCTAAAAATAGCTGATCGACTTCATTACTAAACACTATACCTTTCACATAAACCAATTAATTTACATGTATTGGGATTTTTTTTTTTTTAGCAAAGACATGTCGCAGAATACATTTTCGCCTAAATATATAAGGAAATTTAATTTTTCAAATTTTTTTACTGGACATGTTTAATAGCAAAAAGTGCAAAATATTGTTTTTTATCTCAAAATTGTCAGGTTTTTTTTGCTTATAGCGCAAAAAATAAAAGCCACACAGGCGATCAAACACCACCGAAAGAAAGCTCAATTTGTGGGAAAAAAGGACGTAAATTTCATTTGGGTGCAGCGTTGCATGACCACTCAATTGGCAGTTAAAGTAACTCAGCCCCGTAACGCAAAAAAAATGGCCTGTTCATGAAGGGGGGTAAATCCTCAGGAGGGCAAGTGGTTAAGTAGTATTTTTAAGATCTTGTTCACACCATGTGCAGAGACCTGTATGCATTTTATCTGCACAAAAAGCACTCATGACACTAGAGTTGAACAGGGCACATTGTTTTCCATATGTACTTAGAATGGAAAATTGCTACTATCTGCACAGGGTGTGAAGAAGCCCAAGATATTCCATGCAAGTCAAGTCTGTGCTCTTTTTCATCAGTTTTTATCCACTTATGTTGTGAACAATACTGCTAGTACATTTTTATTTTAAGTTGCTCCTAGTTTATATTTTGTATAAAGCTACAGTTTAAATAATTATAGAATAGGTTAAGTGACATTATTGTTGCACAGAAGTAGGTAAAATTATCCTGACTTTCAGTCATGTGCTCCATCTGTTTTTTGCATTCACTGACAACTGGTCACCGGACATTTGCTCTAGCATTGTATCTCTGTAACTTAGTGCCTTGTACAGGGGTGGACTGACCATTGGGGAACTCCGGCACTGCCCGAGGGCCCAAGGTCAGTAGGGGGCCCCATGAGGTGTCCCTGGTACCTTTCATAGGCTTTTTTGCGTGTGATTTGAGTGTGGGCGAAGACACAGGGGCCCTATGATCCCCTATTGTCAGTCCGCCCCTGGTCTTGTATTATTAGAGCATTTGTCTCTGACACATTGCAGCTTGTTATATTATTTAAACATGGTAGTAGTAAAAGTTAGTTTCAGGTTGAGAGGTTGAGTAAAAAGAATGGGTTGGGTTAATGGTACAAACTGGCTTGTGATATGATTCAGGCGCATGAGCAGGTCTCTATGTAAAGCTTAAAAATGACTTTTCTGCTGAGTACTCAAATGCATTAAACTGCTTGGCTTCATACAAGTTTCAAATTCCGTAGAGCATGCAAAATGCACGTAAAACACTCTTTAAGACATTTAATGTCTTTAAGACATTTTTGATGCTTGTGTGTACATATTTACAATCAGCTTTGCCACATAAAGCTCATTAATTCATATAGCTAGTGATGAGCAAACTGGATCACATAAACTGAGATTCATACAAGTCTGGACATATAAGCACACATAAATTATAATAAGAACAGATGATCAGTGAGAAAGCAATCAATTGAATTTCACTTGGATCACCCTGACTGCTTGGAAATTTCTGGCAGAGAATATTTTTTAAATAATTGCTCATCTCTCAACATACCTCTACTCTTCTAGACCCTTTAACTAAATATTTATTCTATATTGATACTCTAAAATGGTATCAACTGTATGTTCAGGCACTACCAGGGGCGGACTGACCATTTGGAAACTCGGGCACTGCCCGAGGGCCCGGGGATGCCCCTAGTACCTTTTTCATAGGCTTTTTTGAGTTTAGGCAAGGACACAGGGGCCACATGATCCCCTATTGCCCGACGGCCCCATGAGTTGTCAGTCCGCCCCTGGGCACTACCCAAATGTACCCCCTAACTTCCTTCTCTCTCTCTGTAGTTTATGTCAGCAGTATTTTTTTTTCTTTTACCTTGTTCCTATATTAAACAACAGCTTTTTTTTTAAATCCTTGTCACATTATCATTGGACATTATTGCAGTTTCAAAAATATTATTATTATACAGGATTTATATAGCGCCAACAGTTTGCGCAGCGCTTTACAATATAAGGGAGACAGTACAATTACAATACATTTCAGTACAGAAGGAATAGGAGGGCCCTGCTCGTGGAGCTTACAATCTAAAAATAGATCAGTTCCTATTAAAGGAAGCAGTTCCCATTAAAACAACAGTCCTTTCCATGCTTGTACAGTATGGGGACAGGCTCTTAGGAGTCAAGGCAGGAAGGAAGTCAGTTGTTTCATGTAGGGGGACAGGAACGCTAATTGATAGGTAGGTCTGACATTGCTGGTTAAGATTTCAGTGTACAAAATGCACTGCATTGTCAACCTAAACAAGTTAAAGTGGTTGTAAACCCTCACATATACCCAATGAAGTGATTGGCCTCAAGTGATACACAGAGATTAAACAAATCCTCCTACATAAGTTGTACGGTGTACCTGTTTATCTACAGCTGTCTTTCCCCCTACATCCATTCAATGTACTGAATTTAAACAGGATCTCAACTCTGAAAAGCAGGGGGCGGGGAGCTGAAATTGCACTCAGTGAGGAGAGCTCTGAATGCTGATTGGAGGGAAGGGACACATCCCCCTTTTACACAGCAGACAGGAACCCTCCCCTGTCACCTTTTTTTCCTTGGTGTCAGCAAAACCTGTAGGAAGTGATTTATGCTGAAATCAGAGGAACAAGGCAGCAGACAGAAATGAAAATTAGTGCTCTAGATTTGGACAAGTACTACAGAGGGATATGCTTTGTTCATAATTCATGTCTGAGGTTTACAACCACTTTAAAGTTTTGACAGGTCAACTGTAATTTCAGTCTTTTTAAAGGACTGAACCATGGGAAAATGTATATGTATTGTAGAAATGTACTGGATATGTTTTTTTAAATATATTTTGCCCTAACATACACTTATATTATACTTATAGTATCTGCAGATCAAGAGAACAATGTGTTTTGGCTGCAGTGAATCTTGTTATTTTATGATATGCCAGCCCTTCTGGAAAATGCCATAACTGCATTTCAAGTTTTAAATAGGAATAATCACTGAGCTTGTGTTTCGGTCTTAATATCTACTTTTTGTACAACACTAGATATATTATTTTTCATTCTCTATATCATAAACCATTGCCTGATATTTTACATTGTGGAATTTTAAACTAGATAAGCTATGTGTATGCCTGTGTTTAGTCTAAATAAATAACAATAATAGGAACAATTTGTGAGCTTGGAACACATTTTCCATCAGAAGCTAATTCTAGGAAATATGAAACTATAACAAAATAAAACATTTGTTTTACAAGAAATTCTTATGGGTCATTATAACCCATACTGCTGCTGTCCTTATTTTACAGGCATACCAGGAAGTGACTACATCAATTCCAATTACATTGATGGTTACAGAAAGCAGAATGCATATATAGCAACACAAGGACCTCTGCCAGAAACCTTTGGAGATTTCTGGAGAATGATGTGGGAGCAACGCAGTGCTACAGTCGTAATGATGACCAAACTGGAAGAGAGATCAAGGGTAAGTATTTCTTTATTCTAATTTATCTAGTCATGCGTTTGTTTATGTGTGTTTCCAGTATATACATACCCACGGAGTTTACGTTTATAAAAGCAGGGTGTCTAAAGCTCACAGTTTTACAGTCCAACAGTCCCCTTGCCTTTATAGATATATAATTCAGTGACCACCAGCCTTTGCATTGTATTATTCACACTTACTATACATACAAGGGGCTCACACATTAAAACTATAGTAGAAGAGTATATTTTCACCACTCAGGGCATAACGGTAATTCTGCTGTGCGTTGAGAGATACTGTATATTCCTGTTTAAATTATATATATTATTGAATATGAAAAGCAATTTACATTAGCCCTTGCCCAAAGGAGCGTCAAGGCTAATACACCTACCTTGATAACTCAGAAATTCTCTAAGCTGGATTGTAGTAATAATAATTTAACACAGCAGAAACCTGTAAGGAATATGTCCCTTTATAAAGAATTCTTTGTTAAAATAAAACTCAAAGCAAATATTAAAAGCACAGTTTACTCTAGTTATCTGCTCATACAAAATAATGTATATTTAAACGCCACAGCTATTTGAAATAGCATTATATTCATTTTCCTTATTCCCCACACACCAAAAACCAAGCTGAAAATGCCAGTGCACTAATTCTAACATAGGCACTGAGGTTTGAAGAGAACTTTAGGCGGTCTTACACTACAGAAGGTAGGACAAGGATGCTTGTTTTTCGACCGGTGAGGAACTGAAGGGACATGGTGATAGAGGAAGGCCCTGGGCTAAACAGATTGAATGACTATATGATCTGTAATAGGAAATAATTAACTTGAGGGTTTTTACTTTGGCAAAATTTCAAAAAAAAAATCTGGGGACATTTGAGTGATATGATGCCATTCTGCAAATTACATTGATGTCATTGTAGAAAGTGAAATTAAAATGCAATTCCAACCTATACTGTACCTAAATATCCTTAAAATAACAGCCCCCCAATACCTATACTAACAAACCTGTGTAGGAAAGATGTATTTCAAAAAAAGCCAGTCACATTATCTCCCTTGTGTCAGCCTGCACTCTGACAGCAGCTAGTAAAGCCTGCAGTGGTGATGTCACCCATAGGGCTTTAATGGGTCATTCATTGTCGGTTCTCCCCCCTCGCCCCTGAATCTGTGCCAGCTGCCAAAGGGGCGCCTGATCACGTGAGCAGACCAAATTGACTTTAAAATAGGTAAGTATATAGTGCATCTTTCTTACAGCGGTTAGTTAGCATAAGTGTTGGGTGGGAGTTTAAAGGCTAGTTAGGTATAAGCAGGAATTCCACTTTTTTTTATAGGGGTGCAATGGGCTTTAAATGGCTCATGAATATTAGGGAAGCCGTAGCTATTGCCTGTTTATTGCCTAAGTATTGTCACAATTGCCTGCTTGTTGCTTGAGTATTGTAATGACTGGCCATTTGTTGCCTCAATATTGTCATGATTGTCCAGTTGTTGCTTACATATTATCACAGTTGCCCATTTGTTGGGTACGTATTTTAACAATTGGCCATTGTAGCCCTCATATAGTAACAGTTACTTCTTTGTTGTCCATGTGTTCTCAGGTTTGTTTGTTTGTTTGTTATGTTTTTTTTTCCTATCTATTGTCACTACCTAACCAATCTGCTGTTATCCCTGTGTTGCATCACAACTCCCTACATGCACTGCTATTAAACCTTTTAATACTTTGTGGTGTGTCATTCACTGATTGGTTGCTTGGGGTGGTTTGAAGGGCATTACAGCAGTTGAAAGGCAACACGGAAGGTACATAATATTTCTTCAAGCTAATTTGGATCTAAACAGCATCATATGCCAAAATGTGAGGCAGTTCCGTTTAATGTGTATTATAGCATAGATGTTGCTTACTTAGCTGTTTTTATTAGTGACAAAAGAATGTAAAAGTAAGGAATTCATTAATCACATCACACATCAATCTTTTTTGTGGATGGCACTGTAAGCTTCATTCCACCACAAGGTCACTTTCTATGTAAGATGTTCTCATTACTCTCATTAGTGAATGTGCTGCATCGCATGCCATCTTTATCCACTATTTAGTTTATGCTCCAGTCACTTTCATTTCTACATTAATAATGGCCATAACTTTAGCTTGAAAATGTTCAGAGGATGTGCGACTCCATACACTATTTATTGTTCAATATCAGCAGTGGGTTTCCAGAAGATTAACTGTTTCTTCTCCAACAGCTATAAATGTATGGCAGCTAAAAATCTGTCCAAAGCCTTCTCTTGGGCAAAGTCTGAGCCAGTATGTGGCTTGTGATAAGCCTTCCAGGCTCAGATTTTTCCTCCTTGCACAATGTTGATAACATTCCCCAGTGGGTTTTATAAAGCCCAGATCAATTCTGTCCTCGCAGACTTCTGTTAGATCAGTTCAGCAAATGCTATATCCTGAGCTTAGATATCTATGAACAGAACAATTTCATACATAATCTAATGGGAGTTAGTTTGAAGTTCCCCTACAGTGGAATAAACAAAGCATATATGCTAAAGTATTCACAGTGATCTGACTGTACAGGACTGCAGAATATGTAGTAACTGGAGTGAAAGTGTTTGTACATGCATTTTCATTTATAATTTAAATTGTAAAGTCCAGGATCTAGCAATTGTATTTTTTTTAATCCGTGGTAAAAGTGGTTTGCCCCAGCTTGCATTTCTACTTACTTGAGATCCTGAAACACACTTTCAGATTATACGAAGACAGTAATGGGGCTGTGCATTTCAATGATGCAGTTAGTGGCAAAACTAGAAGTATACACTGTTATCTATCATTTATCAGATTCTAATGCAGGAACTGATCATACCACTAGTCCTGCATTCTGCACTTGTGTTTGTAGTATGTTATTAGGAGCCTGTGCTGACCACTGTTGTTTGCAATACATATCTAGGAGTGAGCACAGTCAGGCATAATAACCTACAGAACCTTTTAGGTTCATTTCCACACTGGGCATAAAAAAATGCCATTTCTAGAGGCATTTGGTGTTTTGTTTTTCCTGCCTAAAAACACCCCTCCGTGTTATCTTGTGTGTCCTTGCACACATCGGTGTTTAGAGGCAAAGCATTTGGAGGCAGAAAAAAACCCTTTCCTTCTCCATTCAGGAGAGGAGCATTTTGGCTTAAAAAAAACTTTGTAAATGCGCCTAATCATTAGGAGTATTAATGCTTGGGCGTTTTTTTTTCAGTAGCTAGTATAAATGAATATTCTAGTCAATTAAGTTAAAAAATGCCTAATTGCTTGACTCGCATACACACACCTTAACGCATTTACAGAAACGTGGCTTAGGCCCATTTTTTAGCTGCTTTTCTCCTGCCAGGAGAAAGGCATTTAGGAGAGTGCCAGTGTGCATGGACCTCTAAAGCTGAATTCCAGGTATGACTATTGTTACATAGTTACATGCAAATCCATCTGAGACAAATGTAAGTATCTATGTGCCTTATAGGCACTACTACTACAGTGATATCCACTAGCTTCCTGGTCCCATGCTGAGGGTCCCATGCAGGCTGCCCTGCTTCTTAGTAAAGACAGGGGATTGCTCACTCGGCACAGGTACCATTCAGAGCACCCTTTCTCAATGAATGCAAAGTTTTTTCTGATTGCAGGAGGCAGAGAGGTGGGTCAGTGACATCACACTTTCTACCTCGTCCAATCAGAAAACACTTTGCATTAGTTGAGAGAATGCACAGTTTTCTCTAAATGGCACTTAAGCTGAACGAGTGACCTGCTGTGTTTACTAAGCAGCAGGGCAGCCATTCGGCACGAAACCCAAAAGCAAGCAGTGATCACTGTAGCAGTGCGTACTGCAAATGATTACCAGCTTCCACGGGGATCACACATGAATGGTTCATGTGTAGTTACAAGCTGGCCCAATGTAACTATGCAAAAATAGCCTTACCAATACTTCAGCTTTAAAGTGACTCTCAAAGATGCTTCAAATAGACGGCACCACTGGACATGAATAGGGTGCTGGCCGCAAAAAAAGAAAGAAAAACAAACAGGAGGGAAGCAGCTGTCTACTCTCCGGAAACCCAAAGCAATATACTAAATGAAAAAATTAAAGCAGCACTCCTCAGCACCTTATTACTCTACTTGTGTTATAGATATACAGACCGTCACTATACTCAAGTGCAAAAATTGCTAAAGTGCAAAAAAGTACAAAAACAAAGTGCTATATGCAAAAACCCTGTATGAATATAATATATGTCAAATCAATATCAACATGTTCTAATAAATGTGACAGATTATAGAACACCCCCTCATACAGTGTACATTATAAAACATAAATGTGCCAGTTTGTGCAAAAAATGATATATAACAATAATTTTTAATGTGTAAAAAACAATATATATATATGTTAATAGTCCATAGCATAACGTGATGCAAGAAAAAAGAAGTCCTTCAATATATATATGTATGCATTTTTGATTCATGTGTTTCTTAAAAAAATCATTACCACACTGTGTTTGTCCACCACCAAATGAATTGAATAAACTCACTAGAGCTCCATGCTGGTCAAATTATAAACCAGCTACTGCGCATTGTCTCTGGGAGCAACGATCTGCAGCGATGTCAATGACTCCTATAAGCTTTAGCAATTTTTGCACTTGAGTATATTGATGGTCTGTATATCTATAATACAAGTAGAGTAATAGGGTGTCGGGGAGCACTGTTTTAATTCGTTCTTAAAGTGACTTTGTCATGAGAAAAATATGAAGGCTCCCATTCCTGGCCATCTTTTGAAAATGCTAGTTACTTTACTCATTTACAGTACGCTTGTTCTAGGTCTTTTGAGTCAAAGATTATTCCAAAAATTATTATTATTATTCTCATACAGGAAATAAATGTAACATATTACATGATATATTACAGCTTACCAGTCAATACATGTGGTGGCTGCATTCGTTTTCCTCTTTTCAAGGTTTTTCCTTTATTTTTACATGGTGATTCTGTCAGTAACAC